GTGGAGCGTCACTGAAGAGCTACCTGTAAGGCAGTGGTTCTCAACCTGTGGGTTACGACCTCTTTGGGGGTCGAACAACCTTTTCACAGGGGTCACCCGATTCATAACAGTAGCAAAATGACAGTGATGAAGCAGCAACAAAAATAATTGTATGGTTCGGGGTCCCCACCACATGAGGAACTGTATTCAAGGGTCATGGCATTAGGAAGGCTGAGAACCGCTGCTGTTCATCTCCCTGCCAAGAACGCGCCCTTGATCTGCGCGCCTTGGTACCGCTATGGCATTGACCTTCCTTCTCAGGAGAACAGGTGAGAACTAACAGAACCCGAACCGCTGATCCAAGGAAGGGACCCCCGTACCCCTCCTGACTGTATAACGTTCTACCTCTGTCCTGAGAAAGGAGAGCAAAGGCCAAGGCCAGGTTCACAAGGCAACGCAATCATTACAATGGTTTGTTGCTCCTCCGCCTTCCTCGCTTCTCGAGGCTTGGTGTGCTTGTCCACCCCTCCTCGCCAAGCCTCACAAAATCCAAGAGATCAAGGACTTTCTGCTCCCAGTCCAGCAAAAGGACACGAAGTCTGTCCAGATCAATAACAAGGATAATGTGAAGTTCATGGTCCGGTGCAGCAGGGACCTCTACACCCTGGTCATCACCAACAAGGAAGGCCAAGAAGCTGAGGCACTCAGCCCCAGGTGTGGAGTGACAGCGGAAATGAACCTGGCTGGCTGATGCGAGCTCGAATAAAAGTTTTAAAAATTCATTTTAAAAAGTGCATGTGTTGTTTAAAACCACTGAGTTCAAACATAATTGCGCAGGCTTTGTGAACTTCAATGCACTATTCAGATGTAAGTTCAATTAAAAAGTTATTTTGAGACCATGAATAAGACAAAACATTTTTTAAAAGCTTTCATTATGCTAAAAAGCTCCTCTGTGTTAAATCTTATTTTTAAATATTACACGAACTATTGTACCAACCAAAGTGCACAACTAGATGCATTTTCATCAGAAAAGTATATCCAGGTCAAGAAACAACTTCACCACACTCCCAGGATCAGTCTCAAATCTGACGGTTGTATTCCAAATAAATTGCTCCCCCCAAATGCATCTATTCATGTCTCTCCTGAATAATTATGATTGGACATCACAACGGCTTTGGAACTTCTCCCTTAGGGCAGACACAAGAGAAATCATTGCGCGCGCGCGCGCGCACACACACACACACACACACTTTGCTGAAGCCGTTATCTACCAACTGTCCCTGGCCAGAAACCATAGCACGGGACCAGAACTCTGCAGACAAATGATTGACTGGTATCTACATGTCCCTGGCCCCAGTGCACGTGGAGGAAGGACAGAGTACGATGCCCGCTCGCAGTGCCCTCCCTTTTCCAGCACACCGTTCTAAGAGGTACCCAGGTGACGCTTGGTCCAGGGAGAGGATGCCTCCTAACGCTGCCTGCCCTGGGCAGCGGACAGTGCCATCGCCCGTTTCCAGAATCAGCTGTGGAGACGTGCTCTTCTGCAGGGCGAAGTTCAAGCCAAGGTTTATGATGCAACAACGTTACTCATGACAGTGCATTTGTTGTTTAAAAACAGGCAGGGCTCGAAGATGAGTAAGCAAAGTTTATGAACTTTAATGCACTCATCAAAGTTCCTTTTAAAAACTGAGACTATGCATGAGTATTAAAACACAAAGTGTATCATCACCAATTCTGACTCATAGTGACCGAGTAGGACAGAGTAGAACTGCCCCCCAGGGTTCCTGAGGTTGGAAGTGTTTACAGGAGACGGTCATGTAACCTACTACGTCACCAGGGGATGGTGTTACAAACAACAACAAAAAGGCTCTTTAATGGTAAATGTTCATTAAAATATTACAGAGAATCTTGTACAAAGTACAGAGCCGGAATGCTCCTTAGAAGTGAGGATGGCAGGACTTTGTCTCATGTACTTTGGCCACGTTATTAGGAGACACCAGTTCCCCGGGAAAGGACATCATGCTATCAAAAGCAGATCAGCAAAAATGAGGAGGACCGTCAGGCAGATGAGATTGGCACAGTGGCGGTCTTACAGACTTGACGGTAAACAAGCAGCCATCTAGCAGGGAACAAAGCCCACATGGAAGAAGCACACCAGCCTGTGTGATCACGAGGTGTTGACAACGGGATCAGGTAGCAGAAGACCCCAAACAAATATATTGATGCAAATGATGGGGGTCAGAGTGGAGACCCAAAGCCCATCTGTAGACAACTGGACATTCCCTCACAGAAGGGTGACAAGAGTCAGCCAGGGTGCAGTATAGCACTGATGAAACATTCTTCTAGTTCCTTAATGCTTCCTCTGCCCCTGCTATCATGACCCCAGTTCTACCTTACAAATCTGGCTAGACACTGATATAGATAAGAGCTCTCTACACACGGAATCCAGGACAGACAAGCCCCTCAGGAACAGTAA